ATGACAAACCAGTTGCCAATATCATTCTGGATAGATGTTCCTTAAGAACAGGAACAAGACAAGGATGCCCACTCTCACCACCCCTATTTAACATAGTATCAGAACTACAAGCCAGAGCAATCGGGCAAGAGAAAGAAATAACGGGCATCCAGATTGGAAAGGACCAAGTCAAACTGTCTCTGTTTGCAAATGGCATGATCTTGTATATAGAAAAACCTAATGACACTACCAAAAAACTCTCAGAGCTAATTAACAATTATTTTGGTAATGTTACAGGATGCAAAATCAATTCCCAAAAATCAGTAGTGTTTTTATACTCCATATGTTTTCTTGTAAGTATTATAGTTTCAGGTTTTAGCTTTTATATTTTAGTTTATAATCATTTTGAGTTAATTTCTGTATGTGATATGAGGTATTATTTGAGGTTCCTTTTTTTATGAATGGACTTACGGTTAGTAACACTCACATAGAAAGCTTTTTACCTTTACCGGTGGTCAGGGCCAGCTACATAGTTTTTGGGGCTCAGTGAAAAAGGAAACTGTTCAAAAATTATTAAGAATTACAAGATTTTGACAACAGAGCATTAAACCAAGTGTCGGGCCTTCCAAGTGCAGCTCCCTGTGTGACTCCATAGTTCATACACCCATGAAGCTGGTCCTGCCAGTGGTCTCTTTAATGCCACTCCTGACTATGAGGAGCTTTAGGCTGACTGCCACACAGTGACCTGGCCTCACTGATGAATTTTAGATGTCATTCCTCATTACTAACCCAAATTATAACATTTCTAGTTCCCTGGTTGGCTCAGTAGGTACAAAACATACACACATGCACATACACCCTCATGTATCAGATATATACACATATGTGTATACATACATGGAGGATGTATGTATATATTCCTGACATAAATGTGTTTATGTATACATATATGTGTGTGATATTTACAGATGAGTCTATTTCCAAAGAACCAAAATTAGTAACAGTACCTGCTTAATGCAACAGCCTAGCTTTGATTAGTTATGTTGTCTCCATTACCAATCCTGTTTCCCCAAGTAATTTTCAAAGTTAAAGTCCAAGAAAAACACCCACTTCAGGTAGTAACCACCTCTCCATTACCGTCTGTAACCTAAGGGGTATATATGATACCTCTTTAATTTTCTTGACCCTAGAGCATAAATTCAAATAGTTTTTAAGTTATAATTACATGAACATATCTCACAACTGTCCAGAGAAAATTCCTGGTTTGGACAATATTTTAGATGGTCACCTTAACATAAACCAAATATATCAAAATAAACCTTCCTTCTTTAAAAAAAATAAATAAGGTGCTGTAAAAATTAAAGTTAAAAAGACCTTTAATCATAACAGTGTAATATTTTCAGTTTTTCATAGTAGCATCTATTTGTCGTTCGTGTACATACATATGTTACTCTTAGGAACAAAAACTATTAGAAATAGAACATGCTTTTCCAAAGTTTTTTAGCTTTCTTACAAAAGTGCAATACATGCATATTAAATAAATTTGGGAAAATTGAGACAAGAAAAATAAAACTCATATGCTCAATAATTAAATACAGGCACTATTAGTATTTAAATATATTTCTATACTGGGGTCTATTTTTATGTATAGATTTTTTTAAACATAGTTGTAACAGGATGCATAAACTTTTTCTTGCACTTTTTTCCATATACCATTATGTCATAAATTTTTCCCCATCATTATCTAACCTTAATAACTAATGTTTGAGAATGTTTGTTCTCTCATAAATTTGGAATAGAAAAGTTTGGGGAAAAAAGTACTTATTTGCTTTACCAAGTATATCTACTGCAGTGGAGAGACCTTGTGCAGAGAATAGAGAAAACTACACAAGATTCTAGTGCCAGTCCTTCACGTGACTGGCTGAGGCCTTCAGCAAGCTTCTTAACTTTCTGAGCTCATTTCCTTCTGTGTAATAGATAAGAATAAAAATAAGACTGAGAAACATAAATCACAGTAACCGTAGTAGTATGAATAGTAATAATATTAGCTATCATTTGTTGAGTCCCTAGCAAATTTGTAGTGTGCCAAAAGTATCAGTTATTGTGCTAGGCATTTACAAAAAAATATATATTGCCTCAAGAAGACATAATGCAGTCTTTTAAAAGAACAATAAAGCTGTAAGACTCACACTAATAGATATCAATGCCTATTTTAAATCTATTGTAGTTAAGACAGTGTAGCATTGGTACGATGACAGACAATCTGAACAACAGAATAGCAGACAGAATACAAAAACAGACACAAAATAATGGTCACCTAATTTATGATAAAAGCAGTTCTGCAGTGGGGAAAGGATGGTCTTTTCAAAATATGTTGCTGAGACACTTGGTTAACACTACAGGAAAAATGTACATTGACTCATCAATCCCAGGTGAATTATAGATATTATTATAAACGGCCAAATGATAAGGATTGTAAGTTAAAGCATAGGAAAACATCAGTAAAGATTTCTTAAATAGGACACAAAAAGCGTGAATTATAAAAGAGAAAAGTTGAGAAATTGGATCGCATTTAAAATTTTAAATGCTAAGAGAGTGAAAAGGTAACCAAGAGAAAAACAATGTAATACATAGTATCTAGAGTACACAAACAAATCCTGAAAACTAATCAGAAAAAGAGAGTCCCAATAGAAAATGAGAAAAAACGTGGGCAGACAACTCACAAGAGAGAATATCCGAATTGTCACCAACCATACGAAAAATTGTTCAATTTTCTTAGTCATCAGGGAAATGCAAATAAAAGCCACAATGTAATGGTACTCACCTATTAGACAAAACCAGAAATTAGCAAGTGTTGGTGAGAATATAGAGCAACCATGACTCTCCTGCACAGTTGGGGGTCTATAAATTGGGACAACCACTTTTAAAGCAGAGCATATACACACCCTATGATTCAGCAGCTCCTCGCCTAGGTATACAGCTAGTAGAATTGTGTACATATCTTCACCAAATAAACATGTACAAGAATTTATACAAATTAGATTTTTAAAAAACCCTGAAAACTACCCAAATGCCAATCAGGAGTAGAATGGATAGATAAATTGTGGTATATATTCACAAAATGGAATACTGCGCAGCAATAAGAATGAATGATTTACAACTATATACAAAAAAAATGTATCAGTGGATGAATCTCAAAAATATTATGTCAAATGAAAATATCCAGACACAGAGGAGTATGCACTGCATGGTTTCATATATATATATGTGTGTGTATCAAAACTAATCTGTGCTGTTAGACATCAGGATAGCAGTTACCTTTGGTGTTGGTGAGTAGTAGCAGGGAAAAGAACATGGGGTGGGATTCTGGGAGCCAATAATGATCAGTTTCTTGTTCTGAGTGCTATGATCTGGATGTATTCAGTTTGTGAAAATGCATTGATCTTTTTACCCTTGTGATATGTGCGCTTTTCCATATGTTGATGACACTCATAAAAAAGTTAAAAATATATATTACCTTGAATCTTTACCCAACCAGTTAAGTAATATTCCCATTTTAGAAATGAAAAAAAGAAAAGAGAGAGAAATAGTGAATTTAAGTTACTTAGTTATTTTTAGTTACTAGTAGCCATGCAGCTATTAGGTGACTCACAGGAAATGGTCTTTAGATTCCTTTCTAGTTAAGATAGTATGGTTTTATAAAAACACCAATTGAGAATCTAACTTTCTGACTCTTTTTTAATCCTAATTTCTATTGCCCTTCTTGATCTATTAAAGTTTCCGAATTTCTGTATCTAAAGATAAGATTCTCTGATAATTAAAATAATACCACAACAAGTTTTCTTGAATATTATGTAGGTTGTTATCTCTACTGATTTTATATTTATCTTCCATACTATTTGTCCTGCAGGCAAGCAAAGGTCAGACTACGATTGTGGTAGCACACCGACTTTCCAGTACTCGAAGTGCAGATCTGATTGCGACCATAAAGGGTGGGATAGTAGTGGGAAAAGGAAGACATTTTGAACTAATGGCAAAACAAGGTCTATATTATTCACTTGCAATGTCACACGTAATGTTTCCATGACATAACATTATATCAGTGGGAGTTTTTTTCAACTTTTTAGAGATCATATACCACACCAGAAACAGAAGTCCCAAATTATAATCTTCAATTTCACAAAGCAACCAAGGTTTATTTATAGTTACTCTGTGAAGAAATTGAGCTTGTATATAGCAGATCCAGGAAATTCTAAGTCTACATACTATGATCTTTTGGTTAGAACACAAAGAAATATAACACACAATCCCTACTTAAAGACTTAAAACTTAGCTACAGAGGCAAAATGCAAAATTGTGCATACAGATGTTACAAGTTGTTGAAATAAGAAGATATCTTCTTATTCAACAACTTGTAACATCTGTATGCACAATGATGGGGAGGGAGGAAGCTATGTCACCCATGGGAGCATTCATGGAAGAGGGCTTGAAGACTAGAAATAAGAAGATTGATGGGGAGGGAGGAAGCTATGTCACCCATGGGAGCATTCATGGAAGAGGGCTTGAAGACTAGAAAGTGGGAGGTGGAGGTGGAAATGGAGGATAAATCCAGGTGGATGGAATAGCAGCATGGAAATAAGGAGAAAATGGGAGAGCAACTCAAACAGAAAGGAGAGCAGCCTTCCCTGAGTAAAGATGAGTGTTAAGGGGATAATGGAAAAGACTTAGATAATGAGAGTCAGATCACGCAAGTTCTTGGAAACCAGGCAAAAGGGTTGAGGCTTAATGTGTAGGAAGCACCTAACACAGTGTCTGGCACACTGTGGGCACTCAATAAATATCTGCCGAATGAAGGGATACAGACATAAATTTGTACTGCATGCATCCACGTCCTCACAGGTGGACTAGAAGGCTCGTATTGGGCAATCAAGAGGAAGCATGTAATGCTGGAAGCACGTGGTAAATCACCCTTCCTTAGGATCCATGTGGCTGTATGCTATGAGATACAGCCTACTGGGTCAACTGAACTCTTTCATTAGGGCACAATAATATCAGTCACAGGGATTAGGCTCTAACCATCTTCTTCATTCTAGCCCAGCTTTTTTCTCTTGACCCAGAAGGCAACCTTTTTTCTAAAGGGTCTTCTAGAGATAACTAATTTTAAACCTTTTCTGTTTATTTTACTTCTTTAACTTTCTAATCATATCTTTGACATCAATATTGTTATTTTACAAGTTAGGAAATTTGGAAATTTATGAGACTCTATCTCCTTATCAAATTTATAACTTCAAATTTCAAACTCTAGCTTTCTCCACTATGCTAGAGTGAAGTGTTACTGAAAACACCTTATGAAGCAATGATAGCAAAAAAATGTTTGAAAATATAATCTCATATTTATTTAAAAACTGCCTGATTATGCTTTTATTTCATACTAGTCCATATTTTGTATTTCCTCTAAAAATAAAAGTATGGTGTTATTTGACAATTGAATTTGAAGAAACTACCAGAGGCAGAGGATATGTCTACTAGAAAGGATTCGAAGGAACAATCCTTGGAACTCACACAAGGTCAGGAATAGTTATTAAACCAACCAGAGAAGAGAATCTCTAAATTCATGAGGCATTGGGATAAGTATTAAGATAGATATTGCCTCTGAGGGGGAAAAATTAGCTCTAGACTAAACTCTGCTCTGAGCCTAACAAAGCCTAAAAGCAAGCCTCAGAAAGATTAAACTGTTTCCAAGTAGTTTAAATGTGTTGCAGAACAAATCAATAACATACATAAAAATCCTATTGTCCCCAGAGACTTGGCTTCCTCTGGCTGAACATTTTTAAGATAATCTGAACTAGGTCTTGGAGATGTTCAGCCAGTCAGCTAATATTTAAAACTCAAAGATATGCTTTCATCTTAGTGAAAGCATGTCTCCAAGCAATGGCTCCACTATTCCAGTTATCCTGAACCAGGTGGGCTTGCTCTTGCTTAAATTCTACCTAATAAAGTTTTGAGAACATGAAAAAAATTCAAAAATATCTAGTACCCAACAGTAAAATTTACAATGACTGGCATTCAATCAACCTAGACTAAACTCTGCTCTGAGCCTAACAAAGCCTAAAAGCAAGCCTCAAAAAGATTAAACTGTTTCCAAGTAGTTTAAATGTGTTCCAGAACAAATCAATAACATACATAAAAATCCTATTGTCCCCAGAGACTTGGCTTCCTCTGGCTGAACATTTTTAAGATAATCTGAACTAGGTCTTGGAGATGTTCAGCCAGTCAGCTAATATTTAAAACTCAAAGATATGCTTTCATCTTAGTGAAAGCATGTCTCCAAGCAATGTCTCCACTATTCCAGTTATCCTGAACCAGGTGGGCTTGCTCTTGCTTAAATTCTACCTAATAAAGTTTTGAGAACATGAAAAAAAATTCAAAAATATCTAGTACCCAACAGTAAAATTTACAATGACTGGCATTCAATCA